GTAATGTCAAGAATATCATTAAACTTATCAAGTTCTTTCACTGGTTTGCAAGATCGCCCGCTGATTCGTAAGGGTTTGTCAAAGTATCTGACATTACATCATTATTGAGCCATTCTATCGGAATCAACAGGCAGTTTTTTTCTCCGCACGGAAAATCACACCTCCTTCTAAATATGTCTGATATGGAACACAATAATTCACCCAACCATATCTCTTCCCAAAATGATACAGCAAAAAATCAACCTACATCTTCATTAACACCTCTTGGTTGCCATCCCGCGAAAACGAAACTTTCAAGTATTTACACGGGCAATTAGTACCTTACTGTCAGACGATAGACAACTACTGCTCAAGATGCATCCCCGGAATAAGCTCACTAAGTTTGACCCATTACATATGGACAAGAGGATCGCAAAACACATGTCCAAATATGACAAAGAAGTGGACAAAACTTTGTTTAGACAATCTTACCATTCTCAGCTGAGTACGCTCGATTGATGTGGCCCTCAGAATTCTTTATGAATAAAGGTCTGAGAACAACGATGGTTTCCTCGAGACATAATATTTCTTGGAAAAAGCCCTTTTATCGGCTAGAACACAGTCTTGAAGAGGTGCGACATGATCGGGCTTTCAAATATATTAATCCTAACCATCAAACACGAAGTGAAACAGCTACTGTTTTTGGAAATGAACTTGGCAACAACACTATACAAAACAAAAATTTATTACAACAAAATTTATTAATGATGCTTTATGGCAAAAGAAGCATACGGAATCATTTGAATTTATGAAATTTTGCGATCATTGGCACGTCAACAATTCAACATGGTTACTCACCAATCTACCACTCTCCCTATTTCTCTTCAGCAACAAGACAGCAAATTACAACCATATATTTTCGATGTGATTAAAACTGGCATTATTGTTCAAATATTCCTTGTTTCCTGTCAAGAATTTTTTGGTTCAAAAACGCTCTATGTCTCTGCAATCCATTGTAGATCTACGTATTTTCAGTACATTTTTTTAGGTTTGACAAAAGCAAAGAAAAAATTTGTCGCCCCTGTAAATAAATCTACTATCGTAACTTTGGAGATTATATTATTGTGGGCAAAGTGAATATCAACCATAATAAGTTCCCGAATCCGATTTTGACCCAATACAACTTGTAAATTTCGGGTTGACTCGACCCAGTTAGAACATGACACATAAAATTATACTTTTTTTTTTATGATTTTAGAATCCGTGGGCAGTAATTACAATAACAATAAATAACGACGAGATATTTCAATTTATGACAGAAACGGATATGAAAATTTTAGTCAAATAATAAAAAATTCTTTTATTTACTTAACCAATTTAAATATAATTTTTATTACAGAAATTATCTCGTATATTTCGCGTAAATTACATTATGTAAAGATTATACACTAAGTTTATTTTGCGTAAAACACGTCTCTAGCATTTTTGATTAGGTATCTACGAATATACACTAAGGAAAACATTTAATACATTTCTCTTAAAAGATTAAATAAACAAAACCATCTTAAGTTCTAACTCATATTACGTCCGAAACTTATTTCTATATTCCTCATGTTATACACGAAAACATAGGAAACATAACAGAACTTTTCGAGAAACTTGGCCGTTCGTCATATTACCTAAACTAGTGTCAAATAGTTGCGTTAGATAATGTTATCCATGTATGCTACAGTGAATAAATAATGAAGGAGTTAGATGTGAGCTACACTAATATATCTCCGACCCCTTTTGCAGAATCAGGGTATTAGCTTATTAGCGAACACTCCACTCAGGACTTTCGTTAGAAGTCACGACTCCAAAATTCAGAGAACGAAATAAACCAAATACAGTGGGTTTCTGTAAACATACCTGTGAAGAAGTATCAAAAGGTTTTCGTGGTAGGTTTTCGTTAATATCTCCACTAAAACAATAGACCGTATAAGATTTCGAAGGTCAGGATAAGAAGGATAATGTGTGTGGAAAAAAATTATTTTGTTCCTCTGTTGTCTATTCTTTTATCTTGTTGATCTTGTAACTTACATCAACTTATATCATTGCACATGATAATGATTATCAAAAAGTGGCTTAATTACTTATTTATTTATTTTATTTTATTTTAATATTTCCGGTATTTTTAATATTATAAAAATATAAGAGATATAAATAATAAAAATAATTATAATAATTATAATAACAATAAAGAATTTTTTTGTTTAAATTTGATATTGTGTATGAAATTAAAATTATAAAAA